GAAAAATAATGTCAAAAGGTACTAGTTTAAAAAAATTAAGATTAAAGTTAATTAATCAACCTTTAAGGTATAAAATTTGGTAGGAGTTATTATTAATAAAATAGTTTGTTTTATTTACCTATGTTGTTTTATTTATTCCTGTGGAATATTACAAATTTGTATTTGTACATAGGTAAGTTATATTGATAAATATAATCATAAATGCGGGTAGTTTCATAAAGCTTGAAAGTAAATAATAGTTCTTTTTTATATTTTTTTGGTATGTAGTGTCTTGTTCTTGTTTGTTTTGTATTAACACATACCGTTTTTATTAAATAAAATAACTCGATTACATTTTTTTAGTTTTATACAGTTTTTTTCACAATATTTTGAAGTAATCACTTGTCATCTTGTCAATCAAATTTTAAATATTTCCTGCTATGCGTTCCAGTTGTACCAACTTATTTCTTTGTAAAATAAAATAAACTACTTTGAAATTAAAATGACAGACACATCTATCACTGTCAAGGATCTTCTCGTTGGACAGACTTTAGTGACGTTTGATGTATTAAACAGGTTCGTGTTCACATACAGGGTGTCCCAGGCTGAGCGTGCATTAGAAGTTTCTAGAGAACCACAATATCTAGATCGGAGAATTTTTGCACATCATTGTTTTACAACGAGATCTATCGATTAAAAATATTTTCAATATGGCGGCGCTTCCGGAAATACCGGAAGTTGACCTCAACTTTCTTATTTTAAATGGGTGCCCCCATTTTTTTATTAATAATAGCTCCCGTATATAGCGTTTAACGCCTTGGGAGTAGCAAGGTACAGCTTGCCATAATAGAGCCGTTCGGTATACAAGGAAGGTAATGTGGCTAGCACTACGCTTCAACCACCTATTATTACCTCAGGATTGTGAATCCCAAGTACTCATTTAAGGCTGAGTCGACCTAGGTACCCAAACTATTTTTATTTTAATAAAAATAGTTGGCTGATGAAATGCGGGTGTGGGAATCGAACCCACTACCTTCAGATTTGTAGACGAGAGCCTGTACCTCTACGCTACAGGGCACCTCCATTTTTTATTACATACTTAAATTCTCTGTAAAATTTTATGATTTTTGATATAAAACACTCTATATCTAACATTAACCGTTTTTGAGAAAAAAAATATTAAACATTTTTGGACGAAAAAAAATACCTGTCAAAAAAATGTGTATAGCCTAAAAGTCAAATTTAGTGATTACCACAGCCACTGTGACATAAAGAGAAGACATGTGGCTATCTATTTCAAAAATTAAATTTTTCAAATGTCATATAATAATGGCGGTAGCTGTCATGGAATTGAGTGATTAAAAAATTATCATAAATAATTTTTTTTCAAATGGAAACCCACTTTTTTTATTTCACTAATGAATCGGTTTTTCAATTCGTTAGTTTTTAACTATACATGTTCCTATACCTAAAATAAATCGTTTTTAAGTTATTTAAGATTGAGTTTGAAAACGTATATTTTCCTTGATCTAGCTTCCTTTGACATTAAAACGAAGTTTTTCCTTGTTCTACCTTCCTTTGACATTAAGTGTCAAACGGTCAGACAATTTATTTCCGTCAGGAAACGAATTATTTGAATTTCCTATAGTATAAATACTGACTTAAGATTTTAAAAATGTATTTATAAAAATATATCTCGTATTTTCGCTCTTTAGTGATATCTAATAGTTGATAATATTAATAATATTCCGTATGATCGAAAAAAAAACAGCGCAAAGTTGGCTCGAAAATGATGCTGCTTTTTGAACAAAGCGTCACAATATGACATGGCCAGATCTATTGTTTTACATCACTTGACGTAAAGTCATAGGCTACTGGTTAAAATCAAGAAAAATATACGTTTCAAAACTAAATCTCAAATAACTCAAAAACGATTTATTTTAGGTATAAGAACATGTATAGTTAAAAAGTAAGGAATTGAAAAGCCTTTTCACTAGTGAAATAAAAAAAGTGGGGCACCATTTGAAAAAAATGATTTATGATAATTTTCTAATCGCTCAATTCTATGACAGCTGCGACCATTATTATATGACATTCGAACAATTTAATTTTTGAAATAGATAACCACATGTTTTCTCTTTATGGCACAGTGGCTGTTGTAATTACTAAATTTGACATTTAGGCTATACACATATTTTTGATAGGCAGTTTTTTTCCTCCAAAAATTTTAAATATATTTTTTCTCAAAAACGGTTAATGTTAGATATAGAGTGTTTAATATCAAAATTCATAAAATTTTACAGAGAATTTAAGTACATAATAAAAAATTGGGGCACCCATTTAAAATAAGAGAGTTGCTGTCAACTTCCGGTATTTCCGGAAGTGCCGCCATATTGAAAATATTTTTAATCGATAGATCGCGTTGTAAAACTATGTTGTACAAAAAATCTCCAAGCTAGATATAGTTCTCTACAAACTTCTATTGAACGCTCAGCCTGGGACACCCTGTATAAACCGTGCATTTGCAGCTCGCGCTTGGAATTATCAGCTTTGGATGGAACTTCTGATTTCAAGAACTACAAAAATGACATTAGTGTGCAATATTTAAAGATAGAAGGCGATTGGTTCGATGACCATTTTTTTTAATATTATGTACCCCTAAAGTATTCAACTAGGTTCCGCCACTGAGTAACGCGGGTGGAATTCCATTTTAGACGCTACAACGAGCAACTATAACTCTGTAGTTGGTATAGGGTTGGCACCTGTCCTTTTTTGGAACAACTTGTCATTTTGTCTTTTTTTGACCTAAAAAGTCCTTTTTATTGACGCATTTTCCCTGAGAAAATTATCTACAGCAAACAGAAATATTCCTTTCGTCCGAATTTAATTAGACATGTTATAAAACTTATAAATAAATGTTTTTTTTAATTTTAAATCGGCAAAACTTTATTCAGAACTCCGCGTTTAATATCAAATAATAGTTTAGGGTTTATTTTTAACCATTTTGATCTTTAAAAGGGAGCTTTTCAATTTCAGTTTTAAAGTAAATGATTTATAATCAGCAAGCGGTTCCCAATCGACAGCTCCCAAATATCATCAGTTCCAGAATCCCTGATTTGCCTGCTGCTACTAGTAATTACACACGAGATGGACCAAAATACCCGCATTTCGGGTAAAGTATCCACAATTGGCAACGCTGTGAGCGACGCCGCCCTGCAGCAGCATTTTGAAAGAACGCACACGAAATATTTCCAACTTTCAACTTCGCCGCGTAGTAAGCTGTTGTTCATCATGCTTCCGAATTTCTCGGTTATTTTTATGTAGGGAGCTATCAGATTAATTTTTTTTAACTTTTGACGGAGAGAGTGATGGCATGTTATTTATCATAGAAAACGTGCGAAATTCGGATTCATGAAAACAAAGCAGAAAGGTTTGTGTACATTAAAACGTACAAATCGTTTCCAGAACGTAACGTTTTGATACAGTAAAATATTATTTAGTGGTTTTAAGAGTAACTAGTTCACACTGTCAGGGCACGGTATCGTATCAGACACGTTACATTCCTTTCAGTACAAACGGAAATATTTGTTGGATGCTGGTAGGTGCGGATCACGTCGGAACTTGTATCGCTTCAACATTGGATATATTGCATGCAAATCTCATCACTGAATTTTGCCTTGTTTCTTCTTTCTCCAGTAGAAGTATAAATTGCACGTGATTTTTCGAGGAAAATGAGAAAACATTACTTTACTGAAACAAACTGAAATGCTTTATGTATGAATATGTGAATACACAGTCCAGTGACTAGAATAGAAATGCTGCAAGTTGGAAACGATTTGTGTATGATAATATGCGCCAATCTTTGAAAGTAGGATATCAGTGAAGAAATATCCTTTAACGTGCTATAACCGCTGATTGAAAGAATTGGGAAGATACGCAACCTAATGGGCGAATTCGTGACAAGGTGTAATACGGTGGAGACACCAATCCTTCTGCGGACAACGCATAAAACAATTATTTTCTTTAATTAGGCTAGTGAAGGCATATCGAAGACGGTGTGGGACTAATAGCGACAATGCGGTGCCATATTAAAATGTGTAATATCTGTAATACATTTGACGAAAATATCTTTAGATGAAAAATCCGCGTTTATGTATTGAACATTTATTCGTGTTAAACATAGAATAATCAAAAATAAAAATTCTTTTATAGGTACTGAATATGTCGTATGATCGAAAAAGTCGTTTAGTTGACTTGGAAATGACGATTATTGGCACTTACCGTAATGTTTTACATATAGAATAAAAAAATAGATAAATTTAATCATATAATATATTAAATTGTTTAATGATAGAAAATCCGTATTATTAACGTACTGTACCCAAAATCCGTAAATCTACGGATTAATCAGTTGTTCTGGCAATACTGTCTCCGGCAACCACTCTGTCGACTGAAAGAGAAGTGTCTAGCCCTAGCAGTCAACTTTTAAGCTTGACCAATCAGGTTGGTTAGCGTGGTTATTTGAAGTGTGTTAATTCATTTGTGTTTGTCAAAAACTCTAACGTGATTGGTCGGGCCTAATAGTTGCCTGCTAGGGCTAGACACAAGTGACTGAAAGCAGAACTACGGTCTGCTACGGTACAGTATTTTTTATTCGCCGCAGAGGCGCACAGCTAAACTAAATCTTGGAATTCTCGGACAGGATTCTCTCTCTGACGGTAACGCTAGCTACATCTCGGGCAGGTTTTGTGCCACGAAATCGCCCATAAGGTTGCGCATCTTCTTATTTCTTCAATCAACGCCATAATTAAAGCATGATAAAAAAAACGGTGTCCAGTTGGTTTCGCAATGACATCAATTCGCATTAATGACATTCTCTATACATATAATTTTATATGTAAAATTATATGTATAGAGAATGTCATTGATCAGAATGATATTAATGACGGCGATCTTCATTTCATAGTCATTGCTGACACCGTTTTTTTATTTAAGCAGAATATAATAGTCATTTCTCTTACAATACGAGTTTCGAGTTCCATAATTTTTCCTTCATTTTCTGTTACATCTACGTTTTTAGCCACAAATTCTCGTCGTTCTCTCTCCAGTTTATCAGCATGTCTACTAAAAAATAAATATGTACAGTGTTAGCTGTATTTTATTTTGTCCCACTTTTTACAGGCCATAACTAATTTTATAAAATTTGGTGTCGAAAAAAGTCTGTGGTCTATGGCGATTAGATGGCGTTGTTTTGAAATTTTCGAGGTTATCCTGTTTTATAAAAAAAAACAAATGGCATGCTAATTTAGTGGCGCAACTAGACACCGACTTTTAGGGGGGTTTAAGTCTTTTAGGGTGGCTCAGCTTACTTAAAAGATAATATTGATTTGAGGTTAAAACCAACTTTTTAAACAACCTGCACCAATCATCAATCAGGAGGGGGGGGGGGTAATTTTGAGCTAGGGCAGCTAAGCACGCCCTAGCCCTTCTCTAGTTGCTCCTATTAATGCGTTTCTAGAATATTAGGATTAATTGAAATATGAAAAAGTCCTATAAAAATTGAACTACCCTTTATAGGGTAAGTCAATGATAGAGTAAGTTCAATATTTCATTTTTGAGTTATGAACATAAATTAAAAAGAAAAGATATAGGCAATATATGTTAATATACTCAATTTAAATTGCTTCAAAAAAAGGCTTGTGTTTTAACGCATATAAGGCGGAGATTGACTTGAACCGAGCGCTGTAATGTGACGCTTCTCATTGATTGACAGTTCTATGGTACCTTGCCATTGTTTTCATCAAACAGTACTTGGACTTTTACAATAAAATCTTCACACTGGTTAAAACTTTTTACCTTAAGTTCTTAATCTCTTGCTCTAAAGAATGTTCTATTGCCTGTCTTTCCTGGATGTTAAGTTCCATTTGATCTCGAAGGAGTAAAAAGCTCGATTCTAAATTGTTTACCTTTTCTTCTGCTTGTTCTTTGCCTATTTTTGCTATTATCAGATCTTGGTGATTCTTAAGTACCAATTCATGAAGTTCCTTAAAAAATATTCAAATATAAATAATACAGACTATCTTAAAATACATATGTAAATTACTTCAACAGTATTTGGTAAATTTATAACTTCACTTTGTAATTGTTGAGAATGAATTGTATATTTCCCTACTAAATGCTCATTTTCTTTTTGTAACCTGGAATTAATACACCATAACATAAATATGTAGCCCTAAAAATGTATATATACATACTTGTCTAATTCTTGATATATTCTTTCCCTTTCTTTGGTTAATTTTGAGAGTTCAGTTTTTATTTCCTTAGTTGCCTCATTAAAATACTGCTTCAGTTCTTTCAAGTCTTGTTCAGTGCAATCTGTGATTTTTGTCAGTTCTGCAACTTGCTGTTTATGTTCTTCTCGTTTTTCACTCCACTTCTCTTCCATTTCTTTTCTGTAAAAAAAGCATGAGCATCACAGAATGAAATTTAGCAATAATATTACCCCGATTTTTGTAATAAGTGTTTAAATAGTTTCGACACAGATTAATATTGTTTCAGATTTTCCAGTAAGACGGAGAAACTAAATTAAACAAGGATGCATACGGTCACTTAAATCACCGATTTAAAAGGACCGAATTCAAAACGCATGCGAATGATCACTGGCTCCAACACAACAGCTGTGCGATCGTGCGACCGGATAAATAAAAATATGCGACAAATATCTTTTTTTTTCGGCGTTCAAATAAAAAAAAACAAGAAATGCGAAAAGAAATATTTTTAGAAAAAACATTTTTTGGCGGCTTTGCTTTTGTTGTGCCTTTGTCGGTATTAGTCATTATTTTTTCCTTATCTATAGCTGGCCTATGTAAATACTGAATTTTTGTTTTTGCATAGAAGGCGACAAAGCTAAACTGGTAGATATAATGTAAACATGTTTTCTATATATTTTAATATAAATATTCTTTTATAAGTCCGGTCAGTAAAACTCGACAATTTTTAAAAGAAAGGCGTGTTCCGGCTTTACGACTGAAAAAAATTATTTACGTGTGAAAATATAATTTTTGTGTGTTTTTGTTATCTTTCTGGGCCGCAAGTTTTTGCGTTTATTTTTTATTGTATATATTAGTGGATTAGTGTATATATATAACGTAAGTAATTAATATGGATAGTTATGAAAAGATTGGTGGAGTTTTTTATAAAAACTGTAAGAATACTTTCCCCAAATGTCGGGGCAGTGGAGTAAAATTTTTTGGAGTGTCAAAGGACGGAACACCGTAAGTACCTACTTAGGGCTCGAACTCACTGACGACCAGGTCGTCGCTGGCCGGATGTATTACGTTTTTAGCTGCGGCCAGATGAACGACCAGCTTCAACAGAGTTGTCAAATCTAACGATTTTTTACGTTTTACCAATTAGAAAATATTGTTTCAGAAATGTTAAAATATCCGAGTTAACTAAAAAGCGAAGCTGCTATTCACAACAAACAAAAAGCATTGTGTACGCGCGACCGACAAAAAGGGAGATATTCTGTTTCTTTTTTCTACTGATATGGCGCCCTTATCGACTTTAGAAGTAAACATATTAGGGCCATCGTAAAAAAAATCGTCAGACACTGGCTCTAAATATAAGCAGGTAGAAGGTTTAGCTTCCAGTTATTTCAATGTTTACAATATAACGAAGAATCTACAACAGTAATTACTACTATTTTTATGAATGTTTAAGTTACTTTCTTATTTTTTTTTCAAAATAATGTACCTAGTAGAAATATAGTCTAATGAACCCTGTTTGAAAAACGTTAAATTAAATATCATATTTAAAATACAGTTGTCCTCCTTGTACATAACTACAATACAACTAAAAAAACTAATTTAATAAAAAAAAACAAGTGGTTGTAGAAAAACTTTAAATATTATTTTTTTTATTTTTTAAACATCGAAATTCAAAGGTATAATTAACAGGTATCATACCAACCATAAATAGAGTAGGTATGTCATATAAAAATGTTTTGAGTTTTTACTAGAATCGACCCTTGATAAAAAAAGGGATTAGATTTAAGATTACCTTTGTTCCAGTCTGTATACTATTTCTTTGGATTTTCTGCACGTGTGCAAAAACTACTACATCTGAAAAATGATTAATTTGGAAGAAAACCGGCAACAAGCGGCAGAAAATAATAATATTTCCGTGCAGTCTTCTGGTCGCAACGACCAACGGACGGCCAGGACGTTAGTGTGCGCTATTTCATTTGATTTAATGGTTTTAGAGGTAGGTGCGGCCTGGCCGGTGCGACCTGGTCGTCAGTGTGTTTGAGCCCTCAACTACTTTTTTATGATTGGCAGACCTTCATTTTCTACCAATTTTCTGCCTGTTTACTATAGAAGGCAAAAAATGTAAAGAAACATGAAAAAAGTTGGAAATGTATTTTAATTTGTAGTTTGCTAAGTTGTATGATGACATAACTTCCATTTATTTTACTCCTGTATTAGAAATTATTACTACAGGCTAATTAATTTAAATTTTTTACGTCCTGCATTTTTCTCATAAAACTTTCAATTTAAATTAAAAAATAAAAATGTAAATCATATTGCGGTCTGGTCGACTTTACGGACAGTGGATTTTTAAGAAACACAATTCTAATATACTCAGCTTTTTATAGTAAAACTTGTTATACTCAACTACTATTAACACATAAAATCTCTGGCTTTTAATGATAAAAAGACTATTATCTGATTAGTTGGTTGTTTTTTTTAGTATAAATATTATAAAAAATCTTGATTCGTCAACCAATCTTACTTTTATAATTTTTAAACTGATACCTGTTTTCTCTCTTGACATTTATGCTTTTACCAAGTGACAATATAAAGAAATATTTCCCTCTGAAATGGTATGATAAAAATATAAAAAAATACATTCTTAAATTTTATTAAAAGGCAACAATGCATTCGAGAAAAAAAAACGAAGTCTGACAACGTCTATTTACTCCTGTTAAAGGTCCGAGACAGTCCGAGGTCACGGCGGCATTTACCAGCGAGATGAAATAGAGCCACATCAGATATAATCTGTGGTTTCGACTGTTGATATCAACTAAAATAAAGTAGGTACCACATGATCGTAAAAAAATGGTGTTAAGAGGTGGCTTGGAAATTATGTTTGTAAATATTTATCACAGTTGATATCAAGTAAAATAAAGTAGGTACCACATGATCGTAAAAAAATGGTGTTAAGAGGTGGCTTGGAAATTTTGTTTGTAAATATTTATCGTAATACGAAATGTCATGATTGTACTGTATGATCGAGAAAAAACGGCGTTCAGTTGGCTGGAAAATGAAGATCGCTGTCATTTTATATGTAAATTTATATGGGAAATGTCATCGATCGTCATTTCCCAGCCAACTGGACGCCATTTTTTTTCGATCACACGGTATTTTTTTCTATCATACCATATATAATTCGATCGCATTGGATAATAATTTGGAGCTCTACAGAGTGCACCTTTAGGGTATCAAAAATTTAACCTATACTGGATGCATCTCAAGTGGCTCACCCCCTATAACTTTTTTAATTTTTCAGATAAAAAAAACGAGATTTGTATGTTAGAATAAGACAAAAATTAGGATTAATTGACGTATTCAATCGTTTTTACTCACTTCCTGTTTCACCGGAAATAACTACAACTTTTGATTTTTAAACGGCACCATCGATATTTTTTTTTACTTTATTCGATAGACAATGACACTCTAAATAGAATGACGTATCATATGTCAACTTTTGACATTTTCGTATATGGTTTATTTGAAATCATAACATGCGGTTCATAACGACAATTTGACTTGAAATACCAAGTGTGTGGTATCAAATTATTCGTAAAAAAATTAAGCATACTAGCACAGAATATCTAGCTACACAACAGAAGCCTCGTTACATGTATAAAATCGTAGGTCTCAAAAGGAGACAGGCTTTAAAAGCCTGTCTCCAAATCAGATATTTTGATGCGGTAGTTTCACTACTACATAACAGAGGGCGAAAAATTTAAAAGAAAACAGTTTTCTACAAACGAAATTTAAAAGAAAACAGTTTTCTACAAACGAAATTTAAAAGAATTTTATGCAGTGTTGCCATTGTGTAATTTATATTGTAATATTTCCTGATAAAGCCTAGCTTCAAATTTGCTACATCATTTAAACATATTAAAATAGATTAGAGCTCTTTTTTCAAACGTTTAAGTATTTAACTTGCCATGTTAGTTGGAGTTAAATCTTACGAGCTGAATTAAAATCACTTCCTGACGTTTGATTCTAACTGAATCCTGAATTTTCATTGTAATTCGGCGACAATATAATAAGTATTGTTCTACTATTATGACACCACTTCCTGACGTTCGATTGTGTTCATACCGTATTATCGGGAAAAAACGACGTTAGCGATGGTTATGACATGAAAATCGCTGTCATTTTATGTGTAAATTTATATGGGAAATGTCATCGATCGTTTTTTCCGATATTTTTTTTCCGAGTTTTTTTCGGTATCATACGGTATTTGATATATACTTGCGTATTTTTCATGACATTGCAATATTATGGTACCATGAAGCATATCAAGTGGTACCCTAATATAGTACCATACTATATATGTACACGGCGTTCGATTGGGCTTAAATTTGGTATACTACGTATCTTCAGTGACATTGTAATATTATGGTACCATGAAGCACATCAAGAGGTACCATAATAGTACATAGAGGTACCATATACGATACCATTTCCTGGCGCGCGATTGAACTTATACTTGGTATAGTAAGTATCTTAGGTGAATTTGTAATATGATGGTACTATGATGCATATAAAGTGGTACCTTAATATAGTACCATATTACGATACCACTTCCTGACGTTCGATTGGGCTCATATTTGATTATACTTGTATTTTTGATGACATTACAATATTATGGTACCACGAAGCATATCAAGGGGTACCATAATGTAGTACCATATTACGATACCATTTCCTGGCGTTCGATTGAGCTTAAATTTTGTATACTACGTATTTTCGGTAACATCGTAATATGATGGCACCATGGAGCATATAAATTGGTACCTTCTATAGTACCATATTATGATACCACTTCCTGACGTTCATTTGGGCTCATATTTGATATACAGTTATGGTCATTGAAATAGAGCCAAGTTAAACCTATAAATAAAACTAATATCAAAGCAGGTGGCTAAAAAAAAATGAAGATCGTCATATGCTTGGTCATTAAAATAGAGCCGTCAAATTCTTAACCTGATAAATAGTGTTGTTTTACTTAATATTTCTTTCAATGAGTTATCCACGAGTTTTGTTTGTAATTTAAACTATTTTTAACTAAAAAAGAAATAAAAATACATTTCATTGTATAACAAGTTTGTTAAAAATGGGTCGTCGCGTCCATTGTTCAACTGCTGAAAGGGTACAGATTTTAACATTGCGGAGAGAAGGAAAATTACTATGGGAAATTGCAAGGCTTATCGGACGTTAAAAAAAATTGGTAGAGAATGCTTTAAAACAACAACTAGTTCGCGAAAATCGTGGAGCTAGAAAGAAAACCACACCTCATACTGATAGACAGAGTGTTCGAGTTTCAAAAAACGACCCATTTAAATCATCTAGCGATATTCAACGCGAATTAGAGTTAGAAATTAATTCAAGAACAGTTCGAAGAAGGCTCCAAGCAAGTAACTTGCATGGTACAGCTGCTAGAAAAGTCCCTATGTTATCCGCTAGGAATATAAAACAAAGATTAAAGTTTGCTCATGATTATTTAAATTGGGATGGTGAACAAGGAATTAAAAAATGGCGCAATATTTTATGGAGGGATGAAACAAAATTAAATTTAATAGGTTCTGATGGTAGACGATTTGTTAGAAGACCACCCAACCAAGAATTATTACCAAAATATACTATTAAAACTGTAAAACATGGAGGGGGTAATATAAAGATATGGGGGGCGTTTGCGTGGTATGGTGTAGGACCAATTTATTGGATTAAAGAAAACATGGACCAAGATGAATATATCAATATTATTCTAGAGGTAATGCTGCCTTATGCGGAAGAAAATATGCCGTATTCTTGCATATTTTTGATGACATTGCAATATTATGGTACCATGAAGCATATCAAGAGGTACCATAATAGTACCATATACGATACCATTTCCTGGCGTTCAATTGGGCTTAACTTGGTATAGTAAGTATCTTCGGTGACATTGTAATATGATGGTACTATGATGCATATATAATAATATTATGGTACTATATTAAGTGTACTTAATAGTACTTAATATGGTACTATATTAAGTGGTACCTTAATATAGTACCATATTACGATACCACTTCCTGACGTTCGATTGGGCTCATATTTGATTATACTTGAGTATTTTTGATGACATTGCAATATTATGGTACCATGAAGCATATCAAGGGGTACCATAATGTAGTATCATATTATGATACCATTTCCTGGCGTTCGATTGGGCCCAAATTTGATATACTTGTGTTTCTTTATAAAGATTTGTTTAATTAATAATTTTAATTTATTTTATGAATTTTAATTTATTGTACGATGTCGTGACAGCAACTTTTATGCTGAACTAATATATTATTAATTGTACCTGTGTCAGAGCCTGTGTCACTTTTTAAAATCTACCTAGGTCTATATAAATAACGTGGCAAACAGAAAAAAATTGTTATAGTTTTTAGTCAATTAACATTTTTGTACTGCATTTTAATAAATCATTTCCATTATTATTAAACGTATATTTCATTACTAACGTTTCAGCATTAATATCACTATCAATCGCCCTGTATATTATTAATTTTAAAGATCGCGCACACTATACCTGCACGGACCAGACCAGTAAAATCGACCGGTGAAGGTGACCGTGTTATTTAATACAGTAGAGCACACTAGACCAGTACCAGCACGTACCGCCACAAGCCACGACCGTCAAAACAGGTCGTGTCGGTCAGGGACAAATATGACCGGCAATATTTATGCCTGGTTGTGCTGGTCCGACCTAATGTGCGCACCGGCGAACCAGCACACCTCCACAAACATGCAAATATTGAAGGGTTTGTCAGTATTTCGAGTACGCTAGCTGGCTCAAGTCGCATGATGTAGGTTAGATTTCGTTTATTTTTGTTCGAACCTTTAAATCGTTTTAAATATGAATGAAGAAAAGCTTATTTTACTGGTACAAAAGTATCCAGAGCTGTGCGATAACGAGCCAAGCATTTTATATATAGAGACCAAGAAAGAAAAGATGCAATATGGGAGTCGAGAGCAAAAAAAATAATCAAATTTGATTTGTGACATTCGAAAATATTGGAAAAACTTTTCTTCGGATCTTTTTAATTCAGGAAACAAATGATGAAATTCGCCATATTGCTTTCTCTTTTAATATATGGTGGGTTCATACAGTCAAATAAAATAAAATAAGAATAAAATAAAATAAAATAAGAAAGTTGGTTATATGGGATACCGTACATGCGTTCATACAGCCAAATAAAATAACAAATAAAATAAGAAGTCTTTTGGTGGGTTCATACAGCCAAATAAAATAAAATAAGAATAAAATAAAATAAGAAATAAGGAATTCTTATTTGTGTGCGTTCATACAGTCAAATAAAATAAAATAAGAAATATATATTTGCTCATGCGCAGTACGATGAGGCTGGATAAAAGTTAACTTTTACGATTGTTTATAGTAATTTTACTATTTATAGTATATTTATTTATTCGTTGCCTACTATATTATAAATTTTACTTATGTGAAATTATAAAATAAATTAAATCCAAACTGAAAATATTTGTGGGTTAGAATTAAGCGTGCGCAAAGCCGTTTTTACATAAAATAAAACAAGAAGTTAAAAGATAAAGACTTCTTATTTTATTGGGCTGTATGAACGCATGTACGGTATCCCATATAACCAACTTTCTTATTTTATTTTATTTTATTCTTATTTTATTTTATTTGGCTGTATGAACCCACCATTTATCTTTTAACTTCTTCTTTTATTTTATGTGAAAACGGCTTTGCGCACGCTTAATTCTAACCTACAAATATTTTCAGTTTGGATTTAATTTATTTTATAATTTCACATAAGTAAAATGTATAATATAGTAGGCAACGAATAAATAAATATACTATAAATAGTAAAATTACTATAAACAATCGTAAAAGTTAACTTTTATCCAGCCTCATCGTACTGCGCATGAGCAAATATATATTTCTTATTTTATTTTATTTGACTGTATAACGCACACGAATGAAATTGGAACGCACACAAATAAGAATTCCTTATTTCTTATTTTATTTTATTTGGCTGTATGAACCCACCATTATAGGGTGAACCCAAAATCTTCTTTTTTTCTTAGCTTCCTTCTCTTCCTCCTCTTCTTCACACAACATGGCTAAAATAATAATTTCTTCCTCTGAACTACTCATTTTCAATACTTCTATGTTGCACGCTCTAGTAGTTGAGCCTTGACAACTGTACTTTTTTCGAAACTCTCGCTTATGTTGCTGGTCTGTGACGGTAAAGTGTGCGATGTCATGCAGGATGCAGGTTTGTGCTGTGCTGGTCCGTGTAGGTATAGTGTGCGCGATCTTTTAAAGGCAGTTAAAGTTAGTTTCTTAGTTAACATAATAAAGTAGTGTATATTAAAAATGTATTTTGAGAGCATGTTTTCTAATAATATACTTAAAATTAAAACTATTTTAAAAGCCAAACGAATAATTAATATAAGTGTATCTGACAAGAAACGAAGAATAGAAAGAAATTATTATACACCTGAAAAAGAATGGGATGCCAATTAAAGTCTGTTTGAATCTGGCAACTGTGCATTTTTAGCCGAGCTTCAAGGCCGTCGACGTGTCATCGATCTACGTCGATCCAAAACCGAAAGTTTAAAATTTCCAATTATATTCTGATTATGATATTGTCGCGCCATCTAGTATTTTATTTGTGCAATTTTAGCTCTTTCATTTCGAGTATTTTTCTGTTGCGTAGCTAGATATTCTGTGATACTAGCAATTTTTTCCAAATATGCTAATGAGCCACCCTTGTTCCATTTTAAAAAATTGAAATATGATTAAAAATACGATTTGGGCATCTTTTAACTAGCCAGGACAAGACACGAAAAACATTAGATGATCAAATATATTATTCCAAGGCTCCTTGATTAAAAATTAGTGTTTTTAACACAGCCATAGCGCTCTAGATTGAAATTTAAAATACGATTTTGTTATAATCTATACATGCCAAATATTGTCTTTTTATTTGAAAAAAATAAAAAAGTTATAGGGGTGAGCCACTTTTGAGAAACACCCGGTATAGTTAAAAATTATGTCATTGTATTTCATCAATTTTCTGAATTTTTGATACATCTACTAAGTGTATTCACTTACTTTACTTATTTCATTATTTCATCTTACTTTACTTTAAGAGGATCAGATATTGCAATATAATTGTTTGTAATAGCTTCTTTTAGCTAAATAAATATTTATTTATTTTTATACCAGTTATTACTACTCACCTTTAATAAACACAATATTTAAAAGAATTTATAAAGTATTATGAATTCAAGTTTATTATGCTGCCTAACATTACAAATTCAATCTATGTATCTGGTGAAAGTGCTGAAGTTTTGCAATAGTATTAAAAATTATATATACCTAAAACCAATCTCTTTTATTAACTCCTCTTTGTGCCTTTCTGCCGCCTTTTCAGCTTTTTGTAATTTATTTTTTAGCTCTGCTACATTTTGTTGCTCTTTAACCAATTGAGTTTCATAATTACTGCACATATCACATATTAAATTATCACTCTTTTGCATATCAAAAGATGTGTTAGTGGAAGTATTATGTAAGATCATCCTTTCTGATGTTTGAACGGTACTTCTACCAGGCTAGAATTACAAATAATAATAATAATAGGAATTGCAAGTTTAAGCGAAGTAAAGCTTTTTAGCATGTAAAGCAATTAAAGCGTCTTATTTTTTATATACTAAGAAGCATTAAACACTGCACACTTTTAGTTTAGCCACGTGTATTTGATTTCTAATCAGAAAAGACACTTTAACCATTTTACATGCTAAATAGCTTTACTAGCTTTCTGTGTGGCCATGACTTTACTTACTTCCATTATTAAATGACTACATTCTTTACATTTTTGTAATTGCTCGTCAGTTGCTCTAAGTTTTTCTTTAAGAGCTTTTATTTGATCTTCTAAAGGTTCAACCAATGATCTTAATAATTCCACATCTTCTTGGGTCTAAAACAAAAATATCAAAAATTATTATTCATTTAATAAGCACGATAATGAAAAAATCTTACTTTTTCAGTATTCTTCTCATCTGAAGAACCAAATGCATCTGCACCTAGTTTCTTTGCAAATCCTTTACAAGCATTTATTACTACACTTGGAGCTAAACTGTGTTCCTAAAAATTAGTTCTCAAATGTAATACTATTAAATTAAGTGATTTAAAAATTACACTAACTTTAAGTTTCCACAAATCAAAATTCATTTTGCCTGGTTAATACCTTATTGTGTACAAAAGCATGTAAAAAAGTATGCAAATGTACCAACATAGATAAAAAACAATTACATTCGTTTGATAAAAAATTAGGTTGTGCATGACAAGCATAAAGTTACAACAAATATAATAACATTTTTAGTGGGTACCTGATTTGTATTTTGTTGCTGATACTGACTATTTTCTATTTTTAAATGTTCAATCTCTTTTTGTAAATACTGAATATATGACTGTAACTTAGTAAGCTCTTGATCATATAAACTTCTAGTAGAACTCGATTCTTCTATAGTTTCTACAAAAATATATTTCTTATAATTATCGATTCAATTAATATAAAAACAACTTTTCCTAATAAATATATTGTGATAAAATTTAATGCAAGTAATAAGTTAGAAATTTTAGAAAGTAGCTTTACCATGAACAAGCCTTTGTAAGGATGCAATTTCTTCTTCCGCTTTTCTTTTTTCCACTTCAAAATCAGATTCCAACCTGATGCTATCTACAACAAGCTGACTCTTTGTATCATCTAATTCATTTTTCAGTTTTGTAATCTGATCAACTAAAATGTTATTTTCTTCAATTTTCTTCAATAATTCCCCTAAAAGTTAATTATAGAAGAAACACAAATATAATTTTAATAATGTACCGATAAACCATAATATTTTATACCTTCTTTTTGTAAAAATAATTCCTTCATCTTTGCCCTTTGACTATTAAATTCATCAGTCATTTTTTTCTTCTCCATTTCCAAATAATTCAGCTGTTCATGCTGGTCTGCAGTATTGAATGATTGGTAATTATTTCATTAATTAAATTTATTATAAATCATAAATAGTTAATTACACACCTTCATCAAGCTGAAAATTCTTCCCGTTCTCCATTTGTTTTGATGAATATTTTGTTGCCCTTAATAATATTTATGTCGCATAACTACTAAATAAGTATAGCATTATGCGAATTAGTAATCCTTAATAAAGTCGTATGTAATTCTTAATTCTTGGTATAAAAAATCAAGAAATGGCTAGTTTATTTTTCTACTGTAACCTAGAAAATTTATATTTGACAATCATAGTTGACAATCATCATTGTCAAACAGTCATATTTTGTCTTAAGCCCCGTTCTCAGAACTGCGACTGTCGCCAGCGACACGACAAAAGAACCAATGAGATTTGTACAAAATTCAAACAGCTGTCAATTTTAAATTTAGTACAGCTCCCATTGGTCGTTTGAAGTGTCAATCAGTGTCGCTGTCGACACGACGCAGTTCTGAGAACGGGGCTTTAATTTGTCATCATCTCTATTCTCCATTTGACTCATTTCCAACGTTGCCAATGCCAATTTTACAAATTCCCTAACTAAAAATCTAACCAGATCTAACCATTTTCCCATGATTTTCCCACCCACATACCACTTGAAAGTTTAAAGCCACAGTTTAAAGCCCTATCAGCCCTATGTGAAGTTTACATGTATATTTTATTGTATTTACAAGTTCCAAGATTTAAAGGATATGTATGTAAAAGGGAAAACAAGATTTTAAACAGAAAAAAACATGGAAAATAATGAGTTTCTTTTAAAATGTAACAACTACTGGTAACAACCAAACATGTCAACTTATACCTAGTATGAAAATGTAAAAATTCTAATTAAAACAAGAAATGTCAGTCAGCGATCCATTAATCAAAGATGTAAAAAGTATGTTCCTAATTCCAATTATACGTAGAATAGTTTTATAGTGAAATTATATTTACCTTTACAGGCTGTGTTCAACAGTTTCTAAATCTGAATTTCACCTCAACACCTATTACAGACAACAATTTTTATTTTATCTTGTTTTGTCAGACACTGGAGAAAATTTTTAATAAAGGTCTTATTCGCCAACAAAACACAAAATATTTTAATAGGATAATTGATCCATATGCCTGGATGGTGAGCATATCTAGAGAAAAAGGAACTACAATATTAACATATCGAAACTGTGTTGATTGTGTCAGAGAAAAGAAAGAAATATATAGTAACGAAGGAAGATTTCGATATTTAGTTAAGATATGTTTACTAAAGAAATGCCTACAGGTATCATTAGAATGTTTGGTAGGTATGTTTGAATGAAATTATAATAAAAATGGCATGAAAATATAAATTTTATAAGCTCTTATATTAATTAAAAACTTGTAGATCGATTCTCAGATAGCACATTTATTATACTCGCCAAATTCAATATTGGGCGATGAGATATTAATTGAAATTTTCCTCTCAGTGATCAGACAAGTGTCTAAAATTGAATTTTCTTTGGACTTAAATAATTGTTCATTTCTGGATTATAGTTGGTATATTCCAGAAATATTAACTATTGAACTAGTCCCATGCAAAGCCTTAGGTGTTACTGTGAGGTATACATAACAATCATAATGTGATTAATAGCGAATACCACTGGTAAATTAAGTTTTGCCCATAGTTTTGCCCCCTAGTGGAACTAGAACTAACCTCGTGGTGCTGGAAAAACTGCACTGGTTCTTCAATGGTATTTAAAAAAACCATTCATTATCTATACAACATTAGACACTATATTATTATAAACTTTTTTCCGATTTAGCTGAAATTTTGAATGCGCGTATAAGTAATTAAAAAAAAATGAAGAAACACATTACTAAAAATTGTATTAATCAATAATAAATATGTAAAAAGTAAAAATAAATATGTAAAAATATGTAAAAATTAAAAAAAAAACTATTAAAAAAAAGTCGCCTTGACTAGGATTCGAACCTGCCTTACTACGGCTCCAACGTCATAGCAGCGTAAAGCGTAAAGTCCTAACGCCTTTAACCACGCGGCCACCAAGGACTTGAAAGATTCTACGTAAAGTTTAATGAAAGTACTTTTTTATTTATAAACATTTATTTAATTCTGTTTTTAGTATTTGTTCTTATAGCGACAACATATCTGTAAAAATCTTAACTGTCTAGCTATAGCGGTTCATAAGATAGACCTTTGTGACAGACGGACGGACAGCTAAGTCTTAGTAATAGGATTCCCGTTTTTACCCTTTGGGTACGGAACCCTAAAAATTACCCTAGTGGCGCACCACTGCTGCATTTATTTACTAATGGTATTTGCCATAAGACATAAAACAGTATTCATTGCAGGTCACTGTTTTTTTAGCTTTTCTGGAAATAAAGCAGTGATAGTTAATGTGGAGTCAAATGGAGTAGTTGGAGAAAGTGTAGGTAAACTTAATAATATTATATTTTTTTAAATATTTTTGTTCTCTTAATTTATTTTTTGTTTATCATAAAACAGGTATAAAAATGACATTTGGATATTGTCTATTCATTATTGTGCTATATTCTAACTGCAATATTTTTATGCAGTCTTATCTAGGGTTTTCTCTTAAATAAGTTACAATTATAAACGAAGTTGCAGTTAATAATTTGATTAAATATAAATAGATTCTTGAATTAAATAAAGATAAAGTCTGTTCCACAAGCAAAGGAAGACATTGACAGACGACAGATGATATTCAAAAAATGACAGAAAATACAATCAACCTGTGAATTAAAATGACACACAGCTGTTAGGTCATATATCTTCTTTTTGGCAGATTATACGTTCCCTGAAAAAAACATCTTTTTTGATTTATATTAAAACTAACTACTATAGCGGGCCTGATTTCTAAAAAAAAAACTAAACTTGAATTGGGTAATTAGCGATAAAAAATGTATAAAAATGATGTCACCTCAATATAATATGGTAGAATTATACAGTGTAGTCTTAAATGGAGTGGTGCAAATATTTTCAGGGTTGGTAGATTTAAAGGAAATATATTTTCTCTTTACCGTATTTAAAATAAATCTAAAATAACCGAGTTATTTTAATAAAAATAACCGAGTTATTTTAATACCACTGGCAGTGGCGTAGCTATCATAGGGCAGTTCAGTGCAAAGCACCGGTGCCCCACAGGAACATGGAGCCCCGCAGAGCCTTTCAAAAAATATTTAAGAGAAAATATACATTACTTTGGTATTGTTCTTTACTCAGGGGCCCCCAAAAATATATTGCACCGAGGCTTTTGACCGAGGCCCCCAGTTGTCAAGTTACGCCACTGACCACTGAACCATATACAACACCGGACCTTTTCTGATTTTTCTTTCTTGTAAATTTAACCCTTATTTAACTTACTACCTATGTTGCCATATTATCAAGAAATTATGTTTCTTAACTAAAAACTAAAAAAAAATTCCAAAAAAATTTTCAAAATTCCAAATTTTTACATTTTTTTTTTCGAGAAAAAAACTCATAATCGTGTTTTTGGGGTCGAAATATAATACTCCTAAAATATTTGCCCTTATTTAAGACTCATCCTGTATATACCAATATAAAAACACTAAATCACCATAAACTGTAGTTTATAATCATCTGCTGATGATGCTAACATGGTTAGCGAAACGCGCGTCAAGTGTAAAAGTAAAAGTGTTTTGGTGTATTGTGGTGATTTAGTGTTTTTATTTTGCTGTGTAGCACCAAAGGTTCCAACCCTCAACTGTAATATACCAATATATTTAACAAAATTTAACTTTTCATAGAAAACTATTAATTATTTATTTAAAACATTGAACTAATTATACGAGTACTAGATAAATATTTGAAGGACCAACGGGTTCCTATCATGTATTTTTGCTTCTATCACGAGAATCGGCTGTTATTGTTTAAAAATTACGAAAAAAATTGTTTTACTTTGATGGCTGAAAATTGGTATACCGGGTGCGTCTCAAAACTGGCTCACCCCCTATAATTTTTTTTTAGATAAAAAAACGAGATTTGGTATGCTAGTATATGAAATATGTTTGGATTGATTGACGTACCTATTCATTTGTTTTCTGTCATTTCCTGTTTCACCGTAAATTACTACACTTTCTGATTTTTAAATGGTACCCTCGGTATTTTTTTTTACTTTATTTGATAGAAAATGACACTCTGAATAAAATGACTTATTATATGTCAAATTTTGACATTTTCGCGTATGTTTAATTTGAAATTGTAACATGCGGTTCATAACGACAATTTGACTCGAAATACCAAAGTGTGTGGTACCAAATTATTGTTAAAAAAATGCTTTTTCCAAATATGCTAATGGGCCACCCTCGTTCCATTTGAAAAAATTTAGATATGATTAAAAAAACGATTTGGTCATCTTTTAACCGGCCATTTTTGCAAGGCTCCTTGATTAAAAATTAGTGTTTTTAACACAGCCATGGCGATTGAAATTTAAATTACAATTTTTTTAAGGCGAGAATGTCAGATATTGACATGATATGTCATTCTATTCAGAGTGTCATTTTCTATCGAATAAAGTAAAAAATACCGAGGGTGCCATTTAAAAATCTAAAGTTGTATTCATTTCCGGTGAAACAGGAACTGATCGAAAACAATTGAATACGCCATTCAATACTAATTTATGTCATATATTAACATACCAAATATTTTTTTATCTGAAAAAATAAAAAAGTTATAGGGGGTGAGCCACTTTTGAGACGCACCCCGTATATATGTAAAATTAAGAAAGAAACAACTCATTTAAATATAGATTTTTTAAATTTGACCAGGAAACCGGTTTTTAGCCATTTATTACTTTAAATGTCAAATTTGGCAGATACCCGAGGGCAACAGAGTAAATTTCCTTCTGTCATTTTTGATCTAACTCAGGGTGCATCCTTGACCTTGTATCGATTTCCAGCAATTCTATTGGCTGAAATTTTTGACAGATGAATTATTGAAAAATCGGTCGTTACGCCGATATATGCCGTTCCGCTTTTTCTAGGATGGTGTGGATGCACCCTCAAAGAACAAACTATCGCCGAAGTTTGATTTCACCTATTTTAATAAATAAGTAGTTTATTAATTATTTATCATTTCATTTATTATAATTACTTTTTTATTTATTAACTTTATTAAAATAAATTAAAATTACAGTCCTGATTACAGTTGTGTTTAGTATATTTCTATATGAGAGATATGACACTTTTATTTTCTCTTCGTGGCGATTAGCTATTAATTGGCTGTATTAGACTGAAGTTCGGGACACTATTTTTTACACTCTATAGATAAAGGCATTGTTTAAAATTAAAATTAATTATAATAAAATATTTTCTTTTAGAATAAAGTAAAACTGGGTGATGTTCTAGACAGTCTAAATGGTGTTCATATTGATTCATCTTGCAAAGGAAAGTTAAGTTCGATAATGAGATCAAACAGAAATAAGCCAATAATTATGAAAGTAGCAAAGATTAATTTTGAAGGATCAGGAGAAATATACAAACCCATAGAGCAACTAATTAAGGATATGAAATTAAATCTAGACTTGAAAAAATCGGAAAATAGTATCAGTTCTACTAGAGTTAACAGTGACAAAAAGATGAAGTAATTGAGTTTATTGATGTATCTATTAGTAAAGGGAGCATTTTTGACGAGACATATCGTCGCCTTCCACCCCAGTCGTAGCTAACATTTTGAAAATTTTACAATAGATCGACTATTTAGTGTGTTCGAAACTAAATAGTCGATCACACTAAAGTTTTACTCTTTAGTGTGATCGAAAAATTAACTTTTGTTAGATATGCCATTTATTTTGTCTGCTACGACATAAGAGCCTTTGCTGTTACAGTTACGACATTGTGTGGACTGTTAGATCATACTAAAAGACGTTCGCAGAGCGAAAACAATTTAAAATGTTAGTAGCGTCACTTTGTGTGGAAAGCGACGATATGGACTATTTAATTGTTGCTAGTATTGTATGGGCTATTTAAATTTCGTTAAAAAATTAGATACAGTAGGGCGGCGGTTCCACTGGAATCATTCCACACTACATCAGACTAAGGCTAAGACCTGCTAATACAGTATATCCCCGGATTGTCTTGCGTGTGAAAAATGCATTCTTCATAAAAAAATTGTTTGTTTTAAAATGGTTGTACCCGGTATATTATGCACCATATGATCGAAAAAAAAAACAGTTGTCTAGTTGGTTTGGAAATGACGATCGATGACATTCTTTGTATAATTTTACATATAAAATGATTGGATCTTTATTTCATAGCCATCGCTGATGCCGTTTTTTTTTCAATCATACAGGACGTACTACGTGTTTTTGGGATCAAACTAAGTTCATTGGACACAATTTACCTGTAAAAAGTGCTTCGTCTGTCCGTTATAGGGCATCAAACTTTAAAAAAATACACATTTTTAAGAAACGTTATTCCGATTTAAATGAGATTTGGGGTGCCTATGTTTTGCTTTCAAAAAAATGAAGAAAAATTACAGGGAAGGTAAAAACTACCCTCGCCCCTACATACACTTTAGTAGAAATAGTTTCTAACTTCTCCGATGACGATGATTTATTTTCGAAAATGGCCCTAGTATTTTCAAACTACTTTTTTTTAAAAAGTCAAATGTTAAAGTGCTTAGCAAAACATAGGCACCCCAAATATCAATCAAATTGGAACGCCGATGCTTAAAATATCTCAAAAAAATGTGTTTATTTTTCACTCCAAACTTATGTAATAGTTCTATGACTGAGGAATATTCGAACACCCTGTATACAGGGTGTTTCATAATGACATGCTAATATTTAGAGTAGCGATTCTTGGACCTATTCTAAGAAAAAAACTTTTTATGAATGGATATCTTAACTTTTGAGATACAAGGTGGTAAAAAATAATATTTTTTCATAATAACTGATATTATTATCGTTATCTTGATACACGTTTCCGTCCATACAAGTTTTATAAGAACTATTTTTGGAGAAAAAAAATGGTACGTCACTGACTTGTTTTAAAATAAATATTATTTTAAAAATCTTCATTCTTTTCTAAACAATTATTTTCACCTCTCCAATCCTCTAGGTCACCTAACCATCTAGTAGGGTGTCTTCCTCTATTTCTAAAATCAACGCATCTCAGTCGCCATTCTATGATGCGACTGTTGCGAGAGGAAACAGAACGAGACAATCTCAAATCACAACCCCCACCATCGTTGTCGGACAAATGGAAATCATGCCAACTGATTCATTTCATGTATTTCCTTTTTTGACACTATTTAACTCATTGTTAGTTAACATATATCTCCTACGAGGAATTCCGGCGCTCTACTGTATTTATACTACATGATAAAAATATATTTTAGATTCAACATTTTTTAGATAAAAAAGGCCCTGAAAAAATTAAGGTATTTTATTGTGCTTATTAGGATTATTAAAATCAATGTCAATATTCCATTCTGAAAATCAACTCATCCTCCCTTTGCTAATACATTGTGAGGTTGAAATTATTAAATATTTTTTTAGTATTTATGGATATCATGTCAAATACTTAGCTGAGGTAGATGTAGGAACTCTAGGAAATGTGAAGCAAGTCCAAAAAGCTATAAAATGTATTTTGGATAATCATGTTAATGATGTTAAATCAGTGTCCAGAATTGACAAAGATGTTTCTTTCGAAATTGGGGAAATTGCTCTTAAAATCAGAGATAAAATTAGTGGAGAAGTAATTTATATACCAAGACTTTTTATTCTTGATTTAATTTTTACCTCCTTAGATGATTTTGGATCATCCATATATGAAAATATCTGCGTGTGGTAATCTACCATTGCATCCGACTATTTTTGGATATTGTGCTGGGTAAGTATTTGAATATTTTTTATACAGGATAACTTATTTTGTTCTGAAAGAGCCCCATGTAGGGATTCCCATTTAAGATTTTCACTCGAATTTATCTTACAAAATATGCGGTTGTAGTGTACAGGGTGGGTCAAATTCGACGCTTTTAAATGGAAACACCCTTTTCTATAGGAGATAGATGAAAACTAATATCCGTGTCTGGAGCTCAATTTTCATCAAAAACATGATGGTGAAAACCGCACATCAATATCTGTTGCCGTTTCGGAGTTACGGGGTGTTTTTCAAAAATGTGCATTTTTAACAAATCGCTGTAACTTTTTTGCTATGGAAAATTTTGTATTTCTATGAAAACATTTCCAAAGCACCTTTTTACGTAGAATTTTATGGTTTAAGTATAATTTTTTTAAAATTAATAATTTAAGAGTTATCAACAGAAAATTTGATTTTTATTTGGGACACCCTCTATATTTTTAATTAGCTGAAAAGAATTTAAAATTACCTTTCCAAAAATATAGCACATTTGATATTTTGTTATAATCCCCTTCGAAATACAGAATTTTTTAAAGTTTGCCACTTTTAACTAGTAGGCTTTGGCCCCCTAATTGATGATATGCTCTTAATGGAACTCGAAAACATATTTTCCAGCAAGACGAGGCACCGCCTCTGAACGCTGAAGTTATCAGCAAATTTTTGCAGCCAATTTCAAGAATAATTGAATATCTAACCAAGATCCCAGCCGTTGGCCGTCGAGGCCGCCTGACTTAGTGCCCATGGATCTAATCCTATGGATATATTTGCGGAAGAATAAAGGTTCCTTATTCTTCCGTATAATCTCGACAAGAATTAGAAGTACTTAGCAGTTATGAGAGGGTATCTTTCACCTCCACTGAGTTAATGAATTCCGCGAGAAATGTTCAAAAATTGTCCAGAAGACGGTCGATATGTCGAACACGTGTAGCAAAATCTCATGTCTTGGTTTGCAATTTATTTTCATTGTTATTAGATATAGTTTAAATGTGTTGATGTTGGTTAAATTTATTTTAAATTGTTATAAAATTCTGCATCTCTCATAGCAAATATTATTTTCGTTTTAATTGAAGCTCACAGCTAGATTTTGTTTGCATTACAGCCGGTGGCGTTCCAAGCCTACTTATTTAAAGCGGGCGAATTTTTATATATTCTATATATCTCGAAGAGGAATCAAGCAAAATATCAAGTGTGTTATATTTTTGGAAAGGTAATTTTAAATTCTTTTCAATAAATTAAAAATATACAGGGTGTCCTATATAAAAAATCAAATTTTCTGTTGATAATTCTTAAATTATTAATTTTAAAAAAATTACACTTAAACCATTAAATTCTACGTAAAAAGGTGCTTTGGAAATGTTTTCATAAAAATACAAAATTTTCCATAGCAAAAAATTTACAGCGATTTGTTAAAAATGCATATTATTGAAAAACACTCCGTAACTCCGAAACGGTAACAGATATCGATATGCGGTTTTCACCATCATGTTTTTGACAAAAATTGAGCTCCAGTTACCGATATTAGTTTTTGTCTATCTCCTATAGAAAAGGGCGTTTCCCTTTAAAAGCGTCCAATTTGACCCACCCTGTACAGAAACGCCCTTTTCTATAGGAGATAGACGAAAACTAATATCGATGTCTGGAGCTCAATTTTTATCAAAAACATGATGGTGAAAACCGCTCGTCGATATCTGTTACCGTTTATGAGTACGGGGTGTTTTTCAAAAATGTACATTTTTAACAAATCGCTGTAACTTCTTTGCTATGAAACATTTTGTATTTTTATGAAAACATTTGCAAAGCACCTTTTGGCGTAGAATTTAATGGTTTAAGTAAAAAAAAAATAAAATTAATAATTTAAGAGTTATCAACAGAAAAATTGATTTTGTATATTTTTAATTAAATGAAAAGAACTTAAAATTACCTTTCCAAAAATATAGCACACTTGATATTTTGTTATAATTTCCTTCGAAATACAGATTTTTTTAAAATTTCGCCACTTTTAACTAGTAGCACAGAATATCTAGCTACGCAACAGAAAAATACTCGAAATGGAAGAGCTAAAATTGCACAAATAGAATGCTAGATGGCGCGACAATATCATAATCAGAATATAATTGGAAATTTTGAATTTTCGGTTTTGCATCGAGGATAGATCGACGGCTCGTCGACGGCCGTGAAGCTCGGCTAAATATGCACAGTTGCCAGATTCAAAAAGACTTTAATTCGCATCCCATTCTTTTTCTTGTGGATAATAGTTTCTTTCTATTCTTCTTTTCTTGTCAGATACACTTATATTAATTATTCGTTTAGCTTTTAAAATATTTCTAAGTATATTATTACAAAACATATACATTTTTAATATGCACTACCTTATAATTAGTGATGGGAAAAACCGATTAATTTCAATAATCGAGTACTCGAGTATCAAGCGATTGCAATAACCGAGTGATCACTCGAGCGAAATCTCGCTCGTATTTAAAAATACAGTTTTTTGTCCGTCGCATGTTGTAAGTACTCGAAGGCCAAGCGCCAAGCAGTAAGTTGCGTGCGCAGGGCACCTTTCGGTAATGAACGGCAAGTAGTAAGCGGCGAGCGATTCGCTTGATCGCCTGATTTAGTTTATTTCGAAGCCTTCGAAGCATTGTCGATGTAGGTCGTAAAATTTTGTCCCTCAGATACGCAAAGGATAAATATACCGGGTGCGTCTCAAAAGTGGCTCACCCCTATAACTTTTGTTATAGTATGTGACATAAATTAGGATTGATTGACATATTATTCAATGTTTTTTCAATTTCTGCAACTTTTGTTTTTGAAATCGCACCCTCGGTATTTTTTTACTTTATTCGGTAGAAAATGACACTCTGAATAGAATGACATAACACATGTCAACTTTTGACATTTTCGCATATGGTTTATTTGAAATTGTAACATGCGGTTCATGACAATTTGACTCGAAGTACCAAGTGCGTGGTATCAAATTATTCATAAAAAAATTCTTTTTCGGAATATGCTAATGAGCCACCCTCGTTCCATTTGAAAAAAATTGAGATATGACCAAAAATACGATTTGGGCATCTTTTACCATACCAGGGCATCTTTTAACCGACCACGGCAAGACACTAAAAACATTAGACGATCAAATCTATTTTTCCAAGGCTCCTTGATTAAAAATTAGTGTTTTTAACACAGCCATGGCACTCTAGATTGAAATTTAAAATACAATTTGTTTTTAAGCGAATATGTCAAAAGTTGACATATGATACGTCATTCTATTTAGAATATCATTTTCTATCGAATAAACTAAAAAAAAATACCGAGGGTACCATTTAAAAATCAAAAATTGTAGTCATTTTCGGTGAAACAGGAAGTGACAGAAAACAATTGAATACGTCAATCAATTCTAATTTATGTCATATATTAACACACCAAATCTCATTTTTTTATCTAAAAAAATAAAAAAGTAATAGGGGTGAGGCACTTTTGAGACGCACCCGGTATATACGGCGTCGTATAAATTTGCTAACTTCAGTGTATGTAGAAAATTCGCTCGGCTTTTTATCGAGTATGTCACATTAAAATCGGATTTCAATTTATTTCATTCTAGGATCGCTTGCGTTCGTCGCTTGGTACTCGTCACTTGCATCGCTCGTTCATAATCGAGCGATGTCGGTTATTTCAATAATCGAGTACTCGAGTGAAAATTCGCTCGAGTACTCCCATCACTACTTATAATGTTAACTAAGAAAATACCTTTAAAATTAATAATATATGTACAGGGCGATTGATAGTGATATTTATTAATGCTGGAACGTTAGCAATGAAGTTTAATAATAATGGAAATAATTTATTAAAATGCAGTACAAAAAATGTTAATTGACTGAAAAATACTATAATAAGAAATTTCTTCTGTTTGCTACGTTATTTATATAGATATAGGTAGATCTTAAAGTGACACAGGTACAATTAATAATATCATACTCGCCATAACAGTTGCTGTCACGACATCGTACAATAAATTAAAATTCATAAAATAAATTAAAATTATTAATTGAACAAATCTTTATAAAGAAACGCAAGTATACCAAATTTGGGCCCAATCGAAATCCAGGAAATGATATGATAATATTGTACTATATTATGCTACCATTAGATATGCTTCAAGGTACCATAATATTGCAATGTCACTGAAGATCCGTAGTATACCAAGTTTAAGCCCAATCGAACGCGAGGAAATGGTATCGTAATATGGAACTACATTATCGTACTTCTTATTGATATGCTTCATGGTACCATAATATTGCAATGTCATCAAACATACGCAAGTATATATCAAATACGAGCCCAATCGAACGTCAGGAAATGGTATTATAATGTAGTACTACAGAAGGTACCACTTTATATGCTCCATGGTACCATAATATTACAATGTCACCGACGATACGTAGTATACCAAGTTTAAGCCCAATCGAACGCCATGTACGTCATATGGTACTGTATTATGGTACCACTTGATATGGTTCATGGAATCATAATATTGCAATATCATCAAAAATACGAAATTATATGTCAAATATGAGCTCAATCGAACGTCAGGAAGTGGTATCATAATATGGTACGATAGAAGGTACCACTTTATATGCATCAGAGTACTATCATATTACAATGTCACCGAATATACGTAGTATACCAAATTTAAGCCCAATCGAACGCCGTGTACATATATAGTATGGTACTATATTAGGGTACCACTTGATATACTTCATGGTACTATAATATTGCAATGTCATCAAAAATACGCAAGTTATGAGCCCAATCGAACATCAGGAAGTGGTAATATAATATGGTACTATAGAAGGTACCACTTTATATGCTCCATGGTATCATAAAATTACAATGTCACCAAAGATACGTAGTATACCAAGTTTAAGCCCTATCGAACGCCATGTACGTAATATGGTACTATATTATAGTACCACTTGTTATGGTTCATGGTATCATGATATGCAATGTCATCAAAATTAAGCAAGTATATATCAAATATGAGCCCAATCTAACGTCAGAAAGTGGTGTCATAATATGGTACTATAGAAGGTACCGCTTTATATGCTCTCTCTAAATACTTAACGTTTGAATAAAAAACCTCTGATCTATTTTAATATGTTTAAATGATGTAGCAAATTTGAAGGTATGCTTTATCAGGAAGTATTACAATATGAATTACACAATGGCAACAATGCACAAAATTCTTTTAAATTTCGTTTGTAGAAAACTGTTTTCTTTAAAATTTATCGCCCTCTGAAACTACCGCATTAAAATATCTGATTTGGTTGTGAGCCTGTCTCCTTTTGATACCTACAATTTTATGCATGTAACGAGGCTTCTGTTGCGCAGCTAGATATTCTGTGCTAGTAGGCTTTGGACCCCTTTATTGATGATATGCCCCTAATGGTGTTTTCATAGAGGTTAAAATAAGGTGTTTCCCTTTAAAAGCGTCGAATTTAACCCCCCTGTACATTTGAAATATTCTTTCATTTTATACAGGGTGATTTCTAGTTTGAAATTGTGTTTTTTTTAAAGAGGATGCTCTAATTATATTATGCACCATTTCATTAAAAAAATTATTATAAAATTTTTTTATAATAAATTTGAGATATAATAAAATAATAAAATTATTATCTTTTAAATGGCTTTACTGGATAAACCAGAAGGTTTACGTATAGGAACATGATATTATAGCATTGAAAAGCAATTTTATTTGTATTTCGATTTTTTAAATAATATTCATCGGCTTGAATTTAAAATAACAATGATTTGAAGTATTTTACAACAAACGGAAATAAATATTTTTTTGATCTTCCTGTTTGACATCCAATCGGTTGATTTAGAGAGATCGAACATATAAAATCTGCCGAATTTATGATTTAACCAATGCTTATTCTAGATCAAGTTTATATCAATTTTACGTTTTTATTTTACGCATGTTTTAATCTCGAAAAACGTTAGTTTAATAGAAAAATTTGAAATATGGAAGTAGTTTCGAAAAAATATGATAATATACCGGGTGTTCCATTTAAAATAACAAAGATGCTACCACTTTTAGTATGAAGCGGCAATAATGTAATGCTGAAAATAATTTAGACAGATGGAGCAGGTGCCTTTATGTAAAAATCTAAATTTTCAAAATCACCGGTTCTCCATAAACGTCTAATGTGCCATTGCTGTGAATCACCTTATACAGGGTGGGTCTTAAATAAGTGTAGATTTTTAGATATAGAATATTTTGAACCCAGAAACACGATTATTTTTCTCGCTCTCGAGGTTTTTCTCGCGAAAATATATTTTCTTTTAAAATTTGGAATTTTTTGAAAAAAAAAATTGAATTTGTTTTTAGTTAAAAAACATAATTCTTTAATATGGTAACATAGGTAATGGTTTAAATTTAGAAGAAAAAAAAAACAGAAAAGATCCAGTGTTTCTCAAAATTTAAGCAAAAAATCATTTTTTGTAAATTTCCAAAGTAAAACAACTCGGTTATTTGGACTTATTTGAAAAACGTCAAAGAGAAAATATGTTTCTGTTATCGAGATCTACCAGCCCTGAAAATATTTGCACTTATTTAAGACTCATCTGGTATATCATGCGTATAATTAGTTTTGAGAATTATTTTATTATAAAACACAACCAATTAGAAAAATAATTTATGGTTTTATAAATTTCAGAGCTTTTTATATATTATTCAGAAAATTACTTAAACAAACCACTCGGTGTTGATTAGGATATAATGTTAATTATGACAATTTTGAAATGGAAATTTTATAGGAAATGCACTGAATCTGAATATTAAATTTATCGAATTTATCTTTAGAAAAAGCTATAATTTTAGTGTTAAAATACAGTGTCTCTCCATTTTTAGAAAATGTGAAATTCGTGAAAACCCGTACATTTTAGTCATATGCTTCTCTAATGGAACTCACCTTTATTTTTCTCCTAGAATCCGAAAATCAATTAATATATAGGGTGTTCGATTATAAAAACACAGCTTTGATGCGTGACTTTTTTTGGGGACACCCTGGAGAACTCCATATTTTTAAAAAGCTCTAAATTACCCTACATATATTCACAAAATTTCATTTTAATAAAAACTGTCTTTTTCTTTGGAGCCTCAAGTCGTATGAGAGGGGAGGCGCCACCCTGTATATTAAAAAAAAAATTATTATGGGACTCGAAAAAAAAATTATCAAAGTTCATGTTGCGCATTTCAACCAAACTAACAAAAATGTTGCTGTGGCCTAGCTTCTAGTATGAATATAAAAATGGTATTTTTATAGTTCTTTTATTAATGGTTTATCGAACCGGCCATAATGTTTAGAATTAGTTTATGTTTTTTGTTTACTAGCCACTTATGAATTATTAGCTATTTTGTTGGTTTTGCAATTTTAGGCGGAAATTATTCACTAAGAAATATCATAAATAATTTAAAAAATGAACTTGATGATTGTCCCAAAAGATGAATATTTACAATGAAAAAATGTGCAATTTAATTTAATATATATTTTCAAAGCAATTCAGTGAACTGAAGGTGAAATTTCAAGGTTTGGAATTGAATATCTCCGGAACTATCCGAAATTTTCACAATTTTTAAACATCGGGATTGTAAGTACCCAGTCGCACAACTTTGGCATAATTTAAACTTTTCGGTATCTCTTATAAGAAGAATGCATCAATTAAAAGTAAGTGACACGTGTTTCGCTCATACGAGCATCATCAGACAAAAATAAACTTAACAATAGGACACACACGTATACATTTTACATATTAAAACAACACTCATCACAGAGTGTTGGAAATTATATAAAATGTGAACGTGTGTGTGCTGTTTTAATTTTATTTTTGTCTGATGATGCTCGTATCAGCGAAACACGTGTCACTTCGTTTTAGTATGAGACCGACACTTTGGGTTGAGACCGACACTTTGGGTTGTTTTTCATTTTAATTTTCTTTTATAGTTTTATTTTAATTTTCTCTTATAGAATTTGGGTCATAATATATAATTTGGATGTAAATAAATTAAAATGTGCCTACCATTACGAGTACTAGCATATTTTGTTTGTTAAAGTGGGAGTAAAATTTTATTCTATTAAACAGTAAATCCGATATGGAGCTCTTTCGGAATGCTTTGCTTTTCGGCATAACCCTTACAAAAATCTAATTTTTTGGTTACCAGATGCGTCTCAAAAGTGATGATAAAGAAACGAGATTTGGTATGTCAGTATATGACATGAAATAGGACTGATTGACGTATTCAGTTGTTTTTGGTCACTTTCTGTTTCACCGGAAATTACTACAACTTTTGATATTTAAACGGCACCCTCGGTATATTTCTACTTTATTCGATAGAAAATGACACTCTGAATAGAATGTTATCAAGTTTTCATATCGCATATCATATTATGTCAACTTTTCACATTTTCGCATATGGTTTATTTGAATTTGTAACATGCGGTTCATAACGACCATTTGACTCGAAATACCAAGTGTGTGGTACCAAATTTTTCGTAAAAAATTGCTTTTTCCAAATATACTAATGAGCCACCCTCGTTCTGTTTGAAAAAATTCAGATATGATTAAAACTATGATTTGGGCATCTATTAACCAGCCAGGACAAGACACGAAAAACTTTAGACGATCAAACCTATTTTTCTAAGACTCCTTGATTAAAAATTAGTGTTTTTAGCACAACCATGGAACTCTATATTGATTGAAATTTAAAACACGATTTCTTTAAGGCGCAAATGTCAAACGTTGGCATATGATATGCCATTCTATTCAGAGTGTTATTTTCTATCGAATAAAGTAAAAAAAAAATACCGAGGGTGTTAATTAAAAATCAAAAGTTGTAGTCATTTCCGGTGAAACAGGAAGTGACCAAAAACAATTGAATTCGTCAATCTATGCTAATTTATGTCATATACTAACATACCAAATCTCGTTTTTTATCTGAAAAAAATAAAAAAAGTTAGAGGGGTGAGCCAATTTAGGGATGCACCCGGTATATTGTTTTCTAAACATACATGTTAGTATTTATTTTTTTAATAGGAAGGAAAACTGTGATGTTGCAAAAGAATTCCATTGCCACTTATTTGAAAGTTCATTTGATGATGCAGATACTATTTTACAAAGCATTGGTAAGAAATGATTATATTGATTTGCAATTGGTTTGATCAGATCAGATCAGAACTTTCTATGATATTGTTATAACACTTTTTTTGTAGGACAGGGATTTCACAGGACGCATTATGCAGTATGAATAATATTTTAAAATATATAATATATTTAATATTCTAATATATAATATATATTTTAGTATTTAAAGATGTATATATCTTTAATATCTGTTCATGGTACTCGTATTTATATATATCTATGAATTAAAAATTCGATTACAATACATAATGCAAATATCACACAAGAATCGTGGTTTCCTTAAGTTATTTTATAAGTTTGTTATTTACATCATTGATCTCATATTTTTACACTATTTATTTACAATAGAAATAACATTATTACTTAATTACCTAGCTTACATATTATGATACATATTTCGATGCATATTAATATTTATTATACAGTCTTAACAAATAAACATTGAACTTCTGTGAATGAAAATATTATATTTTTTAGTTAAGGATATAGTCAGTGATGTATTCGAAATAACAATTCGAGGTTATTTCTTAACGAGACAGTCCTGTGAATTAGTGTCACTGTTGGTACGACAACCTGTTGATAAGCTGATAGGACTTCGACAATTGCTGTCATCAGAGCTACCGTCGCTGCATAAACTGGCATGTTTCATTTCACATATATCAATAAATTCTTCAGCTATGGTTCTGTCTAATCCTATAAAACACAAAATAAGGTCTTAATCAAATTGATATTCAATTGAATATAAGACTTTTTGTTGAACTCTTGACTCAATGAACAGAAGACAACTCTTACAGAATGGACTCTGCTTATTAAAAGAATGTGGGAACAGTTTCTTGTTCAATTATATTTGTATATTTTATATTGTTCATGTAAAAAGTATTATACCACCCGGTAACAATGGTTATAGTACAACTTCGGGAAAAAAATTATAGTATAAGTAAATCGACCAAGTGAAATCGCTGGAAATTATTTTCAAGTTCGAAAAATGTCCGCTAGGGGGTATATTTGTGATGGTCAATCAGAAAATAGGATTTTTCTCAAAAATATGCAGGTTAAGAGGTATTTTAAATATTACTGTTGTAATCATTGAGAAATTTATAATTTTTTTGATATAACGTATTTTGCTCTATCTCATAAAATAAAGTGGTGGGGGAAGATTAAACATTCTTTTATTAAAATAAGGATAACTCTAGTTTGGGTAAGCCGATTTAAACTAAAAAAAGCTTGTTTAAAAGAGCTTTCCTTCCTTAACGATCTACAGTATAAATTTTGTTTCCATAGATTTCTTCATGGTAGCTAGAGGGCGCTGTTTGACATCATAACAGATATTGGGCTTTTAAAAATATAAATAAAATATAAAAAATTTAAATAGGAGGCTATATTTCTCTTACAACAGTTAAATAGAGCACACAATTTCCAAAATATTAGCGTAAACCGCAACTTTCTATCTTCTCTATAACGGGAGATATTAAGAAAATAAATCATATTAGGCTGTCGCCTAGGATTATAAGGTCTAAAATTTATAGTAGTAGACTAGGAAACAAAAAGAAGTAAATTCAAAACATCAAAACAATATCAAAATGACAAAATATCAAAACATATATTTTAATTACATTTTAATGCTATTTAATTGTTATTTATCCATGTTCGTTCTTGATTCGATCCCATAAATAAAAACACAGGCATATTGAATCCGATGACCTAGCTGGCCATGGAAATATGCCGCTCCCAGCGTCTCTGTCTACTAAAGTAGTGGTATATCCAAGTAGCCCCGCACATTCATAGCAAAATAAGCGGCACAACTGCACCAACTGCAGCAATTCATCTCTTAGAAATTGTGGATAGTTCATTTCATTCAGATAATTAAAAAAGTTCAATCATTCGCCATCCTAGAATTTGTGCCTAAACATTTACCGACCAACGGTCTTGGTGCTGAACTACTTGCACCAAGGGTAGATTTGGACCAGTAGTTCATATTGCTAAGATTCGCACCTTCGCACAGTGGGCAAAAATCCAGAAATATGTTGCAAAAATTCTTTTTTTGTGCGATTTCATTCAAATTTGGTAAAAACATTCTATGCCAGTAGCCCGTGAACCCAGTTAGTTTTGGCTGACTTGAGAGTGGTTGGGGGTGGTGGGGGGATTCATAAAATCATCTTTTGACTAATACAGCTACCAAAATCCGGTAAGAATATTTTACATTTCACTAAATTTTACGATTTTTGGCAGAGCCATGATGAAACAGACAAATATTGAGCAATTTTTACTCCTCCGGCATATACAGGGTTTGTTATATATACCTATTGACATCCTCTGTATCTTTTTTATTCGACGTTTTCGAAAAAATTGTCTTGAATAAAAGTTTAATGGTCTCGAATACATTTTTCAAAACAGTCTTCTTTGCATATACAGGGTGCCTTAGAAATCCTGTGCGTGGCGCAACTTTCTTATTTCAAATTAGTACCTAATTTTTTATTTGATTTTTATTTTCTCTTGCTAAAAATCCTAACGACTTTTATGCAGCATAACCTATACCTAATTTGAAATAAGATAGTTGAACCATGCCCAGACTTTTTGAAGCACTTTGTATATGCAGAATAGACTTTTTTGGCAAATTTATTCTAAACCACTTTCATTTGAGACAGTATTCGGAAACGTCAAATAAAGAAGATGAATAATGTAGGGTTTTCTTTTATACAATGACACCCCCTTTGTGTCATTGTATAAAAGAAAACCCTACATTATTAATTTAGTTAATCTAATGTGTGATGTATTCGCCTAAATGCATTTTTTTGTAAAGTAATATTCATTATATCTGGTCACCCCTCTTAAATGAATTATTGTTAAATTGCTATAATAGCTAGGAATACCTACAGTTGTCGCAGAGTGATATTACCCGTGCATCACAATATGGTTACCAATAAAACTCATAAGAATCCTCTACATGATGCCATGCGTAATGTCACAATGAGATAACAGGAATTCCTAAATTAAATAAAATACCCCGTATATGATGTATTTAAATAGCATTTTTCCTTCTGATTTTGAAATGCCTACTTTGCTATCACTATTTTTAACCATTGGCCATTAAAATTGTAATATTTCCCACAAAAGATTACCTACTATTTACTGATATTTTGTTTTATAACAGTTGGAAGCAATGGTCACGAAGTGCACTTAAATCTGAAAGAAAAATCCATTTCATTTAATTTAAAAACTTAGGTACTGTCAAAATTTGTCAATTTGTCAAAAAATGTCATTTGACATTTATACCTCTTTGGAAATCTTGAGAAAAATTACGTAACTTTTTATTTCAAGTTCTTCTCTAGCTACTATAACAATTAATTTATGAGAAGTATCCACATAAAGGATCTTATTATACACATACGCATGGAGGCTTACGCTTCCAATAAATTTAATGTTGCGATTTTTTTGACTTAACTTTTCTAAGATAGAATATATGCCACTATCAAAAAAACCTTAAATAATTATGTTCTACTTTGACCTTTACCTAGTTTTAATCCAAAAAATCAAAATAAAAGATACTTTTTTACTTACCTTAACAATAAATTTATCGCAACCGGGAATCTACGTAAAACACGTTATGACAATTTCACAATAATTATTGACAGCAAGCTAAGATTGTCCGATTCAATTGTTATAATACTGCGTCACTTGAATGCAATGCCTACTATTTAAAAACTTGTAGAAAAAAGGCAGTTATTGGACACATATTAACTGAAAATGTAGGTTTTGCGCAAAGTTCGTTTTACAGCCCCTCGAAAGAGACTCCGAATATGTTTTTTTGTTAGTTTTATGTGGTTTTCTCTTAACTAATATGTTTCCAATCTAATGTTATTGCCATAAATGCTAACTCTGGATGTTATTTTTTGCAACTTGGTTTGGACATATTGCCTACTATGCTTCGGTGCTATGTGAAAAGTGGCCCAAACGACATAAACTTAATAATATAATAATAAATAACACAAACAACAGGGAAAACACGAAAACAAGTGAAATCAAGGACTAACTTGAATTAATAACTAAATGACGTTACATGAAATACCCCTAGTTGTCGGCCATACGAAATTCGGCTGTTTGCTGTTAAAAGCAATATGGCGGCACAAAATTCCTAGAAATTTTAATAAAATTATTGATTGTCCGACTTTCACCTGCATATTTTTGAGAAAATTCCTATTTTCTGATTGGCAGAGAAGCGCTCCCTAGCGGACATTTTTCGAACATGAAAATAATTTCCAGCGATTTATCTTGGTGTCAATCAAATTAATATATTTTGAGGAATAAATTTCCAGCAAGCTGGAAATCATTTTAATACCTTTATTCGCTCCTAAATGCGTGTAATCTAAGTTTGCGCCATCCCAGGAGGTGAGCTTAGTTTTTGATAGGCAAAAAACTGTCAAATTTTTGCACATTTTTGAGGTTTTTGCTTGTAGCTGGAAATCGGTCCGTCGGCCGGGAAATGTCATTCCATTCAATAATACAGAGGACTAAATTCTACGTCGAATGACATATAAAACATCAAATTTGGTTCAGTGTTATAGCCGAAATCCAATGTTAAAAACGAAGAAAATTTCGTATTTTGGTGCAAACTTACATTTTGCGGCTATCTAAGACTAAATATCTTTAAAACAGATACTCCTATTGAAAAAACCCATGGAATAAAAGTTGTAGGGAATAAAATTTTACGTTATATAGATACCTCAGTTTTTAAAATCAGTCATTTTGAAATACCAAATTTTGCATCAATTTGAAGTGTGTTTTTTTACTCCTAAGTTCGTAAGTTCAACACTGCCATTGAGTTGGCAGGTAACTTTGCGACGGTCCTCATAATCGGGGAGGACACCGATTTATTGATCCTATTAACCGCCAAACCAAATTCATCTAACGTTTATGTCAGGAAACCTGGAAAGGGAACCTCTCAGAATACATTCTACTCTCCCAAGTACTTCAACTTCTCGTCTGTTGTCAAAGAGAATATTCTGTTCCTACATGCAGTCAGTGGATGCGATACAACCTCTGCATTCTATCGCCCAGGGAAGTTGAAGTTTGTCAAGCTTCTTGAAAAGAACACGACATTTCCAGAGAGCGTCAGGGTTTTTCATCATGAAGATGCAGATCCTGAGGTTCTCATTTCAATATAATAATAAATAACACAAACAACAGGGAAACACGAAAACAAGTGAAATCAAGGACTAACTTGAATTAATAACTAAATGACGTTACATGAAATACCCCTAGTTGTCGGCCATACGAAATTCGGCTGTTTGCTGTTAAAAGCAATATGGCGGCACAAAATTCCTAGAAATTTTAATAAAATTATTGATTGTCCGACTTTCACCTGCATATTTTTGAGAAAATTCCTATTTTCTGATTGGCAGAGAAGCGCTCCCTAGCGGACATTTTTCGAACATGAAAATAATTTCCAGCGATTTATCTTGGTGTCAATCAAATTAATATATTTTGAGGAATAAATTTCCAGCAAGCTGGAAATCATTTTAATACCTTTATTCGCTCCTAAATGCGTGTAATCTAAGTTTGCGCCATCCCAGGAGGTGAGCTTAGTTTTTGATAGGCAAAAACTGTCAAATTTTTGCACATTTTTGAGGTTTTTGCTTGTAGCTGGAAATCGGTCCGTCGGCCGGGAAATGTCATTCCATTCAATAATACAGAGGACTAAATTCTACGTCGAATGACATATAAAACATCAAATTTGGTTCAGTGTTATAGCCGAAATCCAATGTTAAAACGAAGAAAATTTCGTATTTTGGTGCAAACTTACATTTTGCGGCTATCTAAGACTAAATATCTTTAAAACAGATACTCCTATTGAAAAAAACCCATGGAATAAAAGTTGTAGGGAATAAAATTTTACGTTATATAGATACCTCAGTTTTTAAAATCAGTCATTTTGAAATACCAAATTTTGCATCAATTTGAAGTGTGTTTTTTACTCCTAAGTTCGTAAGTTCAACACTGCCATTGAGTTGGCAGGTAACTTTGCGACGGTCCTCATAATCGGGGAGGACACCGATTTATTGATCCTATTAACCGCCAAACCAAATTCATCTAACGTTTATGTCAGGAAACCTGGAAAGGGAACCTCTCAGAATACATTCTACTCTCCCAAGTACTTCAACTTCTCGTCTGTTGTCAAAGAGAATATCCTGTTCCTACATGCAGTCAGTGGATGCGATACAACCTCTGCATTCTATCGCCCAGGGAAGTTGAAGTTTGTCAAGCTTCTTGAAAAGAACACGACATTTCCAGAGAGCGTCAGGGTTTTTCATCATGAAGATGCAGATCCTGAGGTTCTCATTTCAGCAGGTCAACTGTTCTTGGCTGCCCTTTATTCACCTAAGGCAGATGTGACTTCCTTGGACCAAATCTGCTACGAGATATTTTCAAAATCTCTAACAAAGACAACGTTTGAACTGGCCTCTCTACCTCCAACAAATGCAGCCGCCGCTCAACATATTCTGCGAGTGTACCTTCAAATCCAAGGCAGGTATGATAAACCAAAGGATCCTCTGAATTGGGGTTGGAGGACGGATCTTGGCCTTCTCCCCATCATAAACACCAAGGATCCAGCTCCAGCTGAAATTCTCAATACTGTGTCCTGCAAATATTCAAAGGAGTGTACAGGGAAGTGCAGTTGCCGAAAAGTAGGCATGAAATGTTCAACAATAAGCCTCAACTGCAACGCTCAGTCATGCTCGAATTAAGCACCCTTCGAGGATGAGAATGAGACCTAGATTGCCGTAGAAGCAGAAATAGGTGACGATGGTCCCTTTGAAGATGATCCCGATGAAGAGGACCTCGATATGCAACCGCGCCTTCCAAGCTTCTCAGATCTATCGACATCTAAGAAAATGCGAACATGAATGCCGCCACATTTTGTGCTGCATGTCTATTGATTTATACCATAATGACATACATTTATATTTCATCAATAAACTTTAAGTGTTTTTCTTACTTTATAGCACCTACACTATTAAGAACTATGATTAATTTACTAACTTAATTAATATTAATAATAATTATTAAAGATTTAATGGAAATACAGAACTCTGATAAATAATGATTTTTATTTCTACTACTCGAATCTCTACTCAGGTTGTGTATATTACTTTAACATTGCAATGCAATATGAAGTGCTGTTTTGGTACAAAATGTTGATATTTCTTTACCTTACATAACTTCAAATGACTCAAAACGTCGAAAAAAAAAACGATTTTGAATTGATGCCAAATTTCGAATTATAAATGACTAAATTTAAAAGGCTGTACTTAAACTGCCGTTAAACGGTAGCTTACTAAAATGCCGTTAATAGGTATGACGTCGTTGATGTGACGCACTTGACGGCTTTATGAAATATAGGAATTTTATAAGGAGTAACCAACGCTATCCACCCCACCAAATAACCAACTTAACCAACCCAAACTGACCTCGACAATGATAAAAAAATATAAAAAACAAATATAAATTAGTAAAAACCAACCAACTCCACAAAATAACCAACTAACCAATGAATTAACACCCTCCAAATAACCACGCTAACCAATCCGCCAAATAACTAAACCAATAACTTCACCAAAAAGAGTGAAACCAATGCAATAAAATCACGCTATAAGCCAAAAAAATATAAAAAAGTCTTGGTCGGCGTGAGAATTGAACCACGGAGCATTCGCTCACGAAGCGATAGCCTCAGCCACGGAGCCACAGGTGCTCTTGCAAAATGCTTATGCTAGGCATTACTTTCCGCCGACATGAACGACGTCACAATATCTATTAACGGCATTTTAGTAGGTTACCGTTTAACGGCTGTTTAAGTACATCGAATTTAAAAACTAAGGTATCTATGTAACGTGAAATTTCATTCTCAACAACTTTTATTTAATGGGTTTTTTCAATAGGAGTATCTGTTTTAAAGATATGTGGTCTTAGATAGCCGCAAAATGTAAATTTGCAGCGACATACGAAATTTTCTTTGTTTTTAACATTGGATTTCGGCTATACCACTAAACCAAATTTCATGTTTTATACGTCATTCGACGCAGAATTTAGTCCTCTGTATTATTGAATGGAATGACATTCTCCGGCCGACGCACCGTTTTCCAGCTACAAGCAAAAAACTAAAAAAGGGGCAAACAAATTTGGCGGTTTTTTTTACTACCAAAAGTTAAGCTCACCACCTGAGATGGCGCAAACTCAGATTACACGCATTTAGGACCTAATAGAAGTATTAAAATGATTTCCAGCTTGCTGGAAATTAATTCCGCAAAACTGATTTTTTCCATTTAATTTTATTGTCCTATGTTTAAATATATATACAAGGGTGTTAGTCCTGTTCCAAGCGGGTATAGGTGAATAGTCGGCATCTGGGTGGGAGAAGTAATTAATAATAATAACTGATTTTGGAGACGCATTACGTTTAGAAGAAAATTTAAACATTTTTATGTCAAATTAGAGTTATTTTGTTATATCTGGTATTATGTCATGGTTTTAAAAGGGTGCCTATCAAAAAGTTGCCGCAAATTGGGGTTGCGCCACGGTTCAAAGTTTTTCATGCGGGCCTGGCAACAGTGAGTCGGGCATCTGTAGCTCCTAGTATAATAAAAAACACGCTATATAATTTTGTATAAGTTCCAACCTAAAGTATATATTAGAATGTATTTCAGGAATATATTTTAACTTCTACAGAGTAGCTCAAAAAACGAATAAAAATAAAAAGAACTAGAAAGTTTGGCATAGAATTTTGAAGACCTTGCATGGTTTAAGATTACGCTATTTATAGTAAAGTAAGTACAGACCAACAATAGTAAATATTTAGTATGGTTTTGATTTCGGAACAGTTCTTGTATTTTTAATATTTTTGTTAAAAAAGGCTGAAACACTTCACAATAAATAAAAAAGAGGAAGCACAAAGGCTTTCTCTTTTTTATTTATTTATTAATATTTTTGAAACTATCGAAATATATTTAATAATTTCTTAGGACGATGTGAAGTGATAAAAAAAATCCCGATCCACTCACACTTTTTGAGCCACTTTGTAAAAGTTAAAATATTTTCCTGAAATAATCCGAATATATATTTTAGGTTGGCACTTATACAAAGTTCCTAAGTTATTTATTATTGGAGCTACAGATGCCCGACGCACTGTTCCCGAGCCCGTAGGAAAAACGTGACAACCCCTATTTGTGGCATCTTTTTGATAGGCCCCCTTATAACACTGGGCACAAAATAAAAATATCTTTATTTTGACATATAAATGATCAAATATTTTTATGAACGTAATGTTGTCGCCAAAAACAGTTATTATTATTATTAGTAATTAAACATAGTTGGGGTAACTTTTTGCTTGTCACCCTGTCAAAAGTGTATTCTCCTATTCATAAATATATGTAAAAATTCAGTTTTGATTAAAAATACGATGAGCGTAATAATCCTGCAGCCGGATCCTGTACTACTTATGCAGCTGGAAAAGGCTCAACTACTTGTAAGATTATAATAATTAAACTTAATTTAGACTTATGAATATGCATTTATTTACCAGTGTATGTTTGAACTACTTCTTCTTCGGTTAGTTTTCGCTCCTTTGATTGGGACTTGGATCTGGACCGTCTTGGAGTTGGGTCACGACTTCTCGATTTTGTTTTTGACCTGGACTTATAGACTTTTTGAATTTTGTTTATCTAGAACATATTTATTTTTATTTAGGGCATGCTTTCAGTAGTAAGATAGACCTACTTTTCTCGGTGGCATAATTATTGGAGAGGGTACTGAACCTAAGGGTGCTGGTATTAATGGATATGGTACTATTTGGGGCTGTGCTAGCGGAGTCTGAAACGCATAAACTGGCATAGGTAGGTTACTTGATAGCTGAAAAAAAATAGAAAATAAACTACAATATTCCTTCATCAAAAGTTTAATGACATAAATTGTTGTTTTTATGATTTAAATACTTTTTTTAGAAAATTTTCATCAATTCGGTTTTAACAGATCGAATTGAAATTTCCAAGTAAAAAACTTGAAATGGATTCTATTCAGAATACTGGATCACTCTGTATATATTTTAAGAATTTAAAAAAAATATAAATTTTCTTGAACGTATCATTTGTCCTCTTTGTGTACGGCATGTATAAGGCGTGACAAATTAATAGGAATTATACCAGATGTTGAATACCACTCCTCTTCTAGTATTTTCTTTCATTACCATCTTGTGGTTGGCAATGAACCCCTTTGGTATTTTAAAAGAAAATGCCGAACAAGATATTAAAAACAATTATACTTTAATGGATATAGATAAGTATTAGGTCGATGCAGTAGGTGCGTTTATTACCGGGTGTCTCGATACCCTTTGTGTCTCAATACCCCTCTTTATTTTTATTTTTAAAATTGGAAAATCTACTCAAGATGCCCGGTCACTGATCTCCGAGGAGTTGTTCACCTCTGTCGATGTTAGCTAGTGCTTTATAATTTTTTGCAACCGATTAGGCAGTGTTGGATTCGCAGGCTATAGTTTTAGGTCAACTTGTAACATGTGACAAATTAACTCGTAATATACCCACCTGGAAGCAGAGCTGACGACATTGCTTCAACATTTCAGACTTAAAATTTTTCTTCGCCTGTGAATTACTAAGGTCCGACCGAACCTGGATTTTTAGTCTCGGCCGAGATCGAGACCGAGACAAAGGAGAAATTTTTGGCCGAGGCCGAGACCGAGACACGATGCAATATTTATTTTTTAATAGTTTATTATATGAAAAAATATCTGATAATAATGCAATAAAAGCGTTATTTTCATGCAGAAACTGTTTTTTTGGAAATTTAATACTGCAAAATTACTAATATGTAATATGTACTAATAAAGTTACTTTTTTAGCTTACGAGTATAACATAGTTGTTATGTTATAGGCTAAAAAAGTAATTTTTCAGCATTGCATCCTTTCAAATCATGCTCTGTTTCATCATATTCTAAATAGTTGTTTACTAGAGACGCTTGTTCGTGGTGCCACAGATTATACAGATTATAATCTTTGTTTTTTCTTTATTGTTTTTCGTGGTTCCAATTTTCGGAATCGGGCACTATAGGGGTCTCACTCATTGGGTTACTAGTTTGCGCACATAGCACGCCCACTTATAGCCTCTAAAATTGTGCACAGCGCCTGACCGGCACAGTTATTAGAGAGATATCGGAAAACCGAATAGCGTCATCCAGTATTTACGCGTACCTTATCATGGTTACGATATGCGCGAGTCAATTTTTAACGCAACACCCGCTAATAACGTTACCGCCTGACGTAATTTGCGGATCAATTACACCAAGCGCTCTTTCTAAATAACCTCTGATAACGTTTAAAAATTGCTTAAATGGGCATATGCGGGTATTTGACAGCCGGAGCCGGCCGGCCAGATCTTTTATTTTAGGTTATGTTTGAATTGTTTTGAATTATTGCTTTAGTTTTATTACGTAATTTGATATTTAAGTAGCTGGGATTAGTTTTCACTAAATAAATATGGCCCAAAATGTGGATTCCACCTCTTCCAATACTAAAGAACCTATACAGAGTCTTAGGTTTACAGCAGATGACGACTTAGCCCTTCTAAGAGAATTTGTTGCTTGTTGCCCTAAACCCACTGGTAGACGTTGAACAATAAAGCACTGGAAATAAGCACTTTAGCCCTTTAGTTTTAAAATACCGTAAACAAAACAATTTCAAAGTTTTAAATTCAAAGTTAGGTTAAGTTTAAATAGCCGACGCGACGCGGTCAGAATTCTTTCCGATCCGATAACTATAAATGAAGAGAGTTAATACCACCTCACGTCAAGGAAATAACACCTGGCCTTATTAACGTCCGTGCACGCTATTCAATTTAGCGATATCTCTCTATTACGCTGTTTATTGTTATTTTACGCGAGTTTAAAAAAATCATAAAAAACAATTTTCGTACCACGAATTAGGGACAAGATTTTTATCTGTATACTTGTAGGATACCTAATCTGTGGTGGTGCACACTATAAATTAAAAACAATTATACGCTTTTTACATATAGATCCAAAGAGAGGGGGGTCCGCGAAGGCTGGGGCCCTGGTGGCAATCGCCACCCTGACTATATGGCCAGTCCGACCCTGGTGCACACCCTTCTTCGTTTGACATTAATGCACACAAATTTACATACTGGTTTACAACTTGACATTGCGTCCAGAATCATAATTTTCGTTTTGTTATGGTTGATATCTAGAAAATACTTGCGAATTTAATCTTCAAGTTATTGCATAAATTGTTTATGCTCTTTAGTATGGTTTTCCAGCAGGACTACAGTATCGTCACCTTAATTCAGATTGTTCAGTTTTGCTTCGCCAATAATAGTACCGCTCCCCATATCCATAGGTGTTAAAAAGGAGTGGTTTGGTTTGATAGTATATGTTATATAATATACACGTCTATATCTCATTTTTTTGTATTTTAAATGTATCTGATAGGTACTTGTCAAGACAATACGGTCTGGTACTACCACTGTATTAAATATTTGTATTAAGTATCCATCTTGGAGTTCGGGAGATTTTTAACTTTGGGAGCAAAGCATTATTAGAAAAGGAGTATTGAGTTGCAAGGTACCGAAAGCCTTGTTCCTTAAGGTATAAGGACTCGGTTATTAAATGAATTTTTTCATTATATATTTTGTTTGGTTTGGTTTGGACTTCTGATAAAAATACCTACCAATAATAATGATGACAATTATGGCCATTTGAAATGTAGAAATTAAATGTTCAGTTTAAAAATAGGACATTTTATGAAATATCTGTACTGTATATTATTTAATAAGTATGTTAAACAAATAAAGAATTTTGTTTAAATTTTTGAAAATTAAAACGAAATGTAGACATTAAATCATTTAACACGAGTAAAATAACACGGTCGATAATTAAAAAATACAGTCTAATATACAGTATGTCTGGATTGTCTTTACAAGAGGAAACACTTTTATTATTAACATTTATTGTTTGTTCTAAAATGGTTAACCCGGTTTATACTTTTCCTAATTTCCATACCGTATTAGAGAAAATAAAAAAATATATGTTCCTAAAAGTCCTAAAAATCAAAATGCGTTTCTATAGTAATATAATTTGGATTTCATTCATTGATATATTGTTATTATTAATTTTTATTACCGTCATATTTTTCTGTTGGTTAATGTATCACATTTTCTGATGACTCGATTCCGCATTCCCGCATTTCCGCATTAAACTAAATAAATGTGTGCTTCTTTAATATTTTATAAAAGTAAAAAATATGACGCTATAATAATTAAAATTCTACCAATAACAATCTATCAAAGAATGAAAACGAAATTATATTACCACAGAAACGTGTTCTTAATTATTTAAAATTCAACCATATTTTCATGATTTTTTTATTTTTCTCTAAAACGGTATGGAAATTTGTTAATAAAGACTTTTTCCTCTTGTAAAGACAATCCGGGGACATACTGTAGACCATGAGTCATAGAAATAAATGTAGAATAATTTTTACATAGTGAAAGTATCGATATACTGGCATTATTCTTTGTAGATGTATTTATTGTAATGTTTGCCCATACACGTGCTTTATTAAGGTAGAAAATTAGCATTAATAACAAATAGACACTTCATTAAATACCTTACGGCTTTTGCTTACGGCCACGTGATGTGGTCACGTTTGACTTTTTCAAATGCCGTAAATTCTAAAAGGCCGGCTGTTATTCTTTTTTAAAATACTCAAGTAATGAAGTATTACACCTTAGATCGTTAAATTATTTAAGAATTGCTGAGGATATATTTTTTAAACTAATATTGCTTGTGATTAATTAATATTACGAGTTTGTTTTCACTTCTAACGTAATAGTTATGCATAAATCGTTGCATACAAAATCAAATTTATTAGATCGTGAAATAAACCTTTTTCTTCTAATTTGATTCCTCCGATTATTTGTGTAACAATTTTATTTTTATTCTTATAACTCATTGTTAAGAACAATAATGAGAGTTGAGTTTAAGAATAAAAATTGGTGCCAGGCGGCACGTATAGCCGCCCATACTAAAATATGGTAAAAAAAAGTTGGTAGGCAGTTCTTTTAGTTTCAAAGTAAAGGAAATTTTTCCAATTTTGGTCCGCGGTTATTTCCCCTATCTAAGTTTTAGTATGAAATTATACGAATGTTAAAAATCTCGTCACATTTTGTCTGACTATTTTTGACCTTTTTATTTATCGTCCATGGTTTCTCTCTTCTTTTAAGCATGCTATAGGCATAAGTAAAAGTTAATACATATTTAAACAAAGTCAACAACCTGAACCTGTTGTTGAAGTACCTAGTAATAAGATCATTTTTATAGGTTTGCTATATACACTCACCGGCAAAAAAAACCGGCCACCCAAAACTAGTCCCAATTTCATAATTGGATTTCTCGCGAATCACTCATTAGATTTTGATGATTTTTTTTAAATTGTAAATTAATTCCTTCCTTAACGGATGCTACGTCAGAAATTTTTATTCCGAATTTATTTTGAGCATATACAGGGCACAACAATAAGACGAAGTTTTTTGCCCAAATTTTGTAACACCCTGTAGGGTGCAGGAGCTGTAGTAGATATTGGTAAATCAAACCACATTGTAGCCTCATCTTTTGTGAGCATTTTGATTTTTTAATCACGACATTACCTCTATTTGTATTGGAGATACGCTGCTTTAAAACAAACGCCTCGAAAAAAGCTTTAAAATCAAATCAAACATCAGAACGTAGACGTAAACTAACTGAAACATGAAAATTAAAATAAAAAGTAAAGAAATTTTAAGGGACTAATATCTAGTATCCACTCCGTTTTTGTGTCTAGTATCCA